CCTCGGGCAAAATAGAATTGTATACCCTTGGTCTTGCTCTTGCTTTGAACTCCTCAGTCGAGGGTTAAGCGAATCGCACAGCGACGAGCGTTACTTGTTTATATATTTTGTGGAACTCGCATATATTTTCGAAGAAAATTGTGAGTGAAAGTTTTAAGGTGAAGTTTTTGCGGTTCCCCACCCCGCTCCACTACAGACATCCCCCCATTACAGACATAAACGAGCGCAAAAAAATTATTTTTAATATTTGAAAAAACTAGTTTTGTAAAAAAATGTATCATTTTGTGTGTAAGTTCATCGACGTATTGAATAGATCATTGATCATCGACGTAGATTTAACGCATACGTATAGCAGACGGAGTTTGCTAATTCATTCGATGATAATGATGATGAATTCGTATTGAAAAAAAAATACGAAATGAAAGAGGCTGTTTTCATGCCGATCGAGTATCTTAAACCAACAACTGTAATATGCTAAGTTATTTTTGATGTTATCAATTGTGCATCATTATTACTAGAGAAGATGAAATGAAATAATCATTTTACAGATGGGCAACAAATCATGTTAGTAGTGAACGTTTTTAAGAGTATGTTTCGTCAGTAAAATTTATTCTGAATAAGAAGTCTCGAGTGTTACGTATGTAGATGATGAATTCCTGATGTATTTTGTTTTCATATCCACGGGTGGCGGAACGATCTCAGCCTTGGGTAGGCTCAACTTTCCAGTCCGCTATGGGAGATTTCAGTAGATTATAATCGGAGTTTTCTGCACCAAAACCCAAATTATAATCCATTGAAATCTTCTAAGTCAACGATAGCTTGATTTTTAATCAAACAATAATCTTAAAAATCCAGTAAAATTTATATTAAAATCATGTATGTTTGATTAAAGTCATATAATCTGGATTTAATACTATTTTAATCAAAATCTTATCGGATTTTTAAGATTATTGTTTGATTAAAAATCAAATTATCGTTGTCTTGGAAGATTTCAAGGGATTATAACTTGGATTTTGTTGCAGAAAAATCTGATTACAATCCACTGAAATCTTCTATAATTCAATATTTTTTCACTGAGAGGAAGCCAGTTAAAGGTGATTTTCGTATTTTTTTTGCAACAGTGAACGCAATAGGTTTTTGTTAGACTTCCATGCGGTATGAGCGTGATTACTATCTGCTGCTATATTCTCGCGAGACAAAAACGATCCAAATGAATATCAGAGAAAAAGTGTTTATAAATTTTTTTTTAAATTCTTCAAAAATTAAAACTATGCAGCACCAAAAAATGTTTTTCGATTTTGATTCTTGAAAATAAAATCACAAAAGATGCTGTTCCTTTGATACTAGTTCATACTGGGAAAAATATGGAATGACCTTGCAACAACGAGAAATCTGTCACTGTCGGTAGAACATAGACACTAAATTCTGGTAAAAAAAACATACATTTCAGTGAGCCTCTCCAAACCTCCATCTGCCTTAGTTTGAGCCTACCCAAGCCTATCCTATCCAAATCTAGGGTAGGCTTGTGTCTACCCAGGCCTAATGGCTCCGCCGCCACTCTTCATATCGTTGGTTTAAAAATGTGATCATTATCATTTTCATCATGATACTGCGTGTTTAATACAGGAATTCATTGTATTTCAATACTAGTTTATTACAACTTTTTGAAAAAATGTTCGAATTCAGTTGATATTCATTTTTATAATGATCTTTGAGAATAATTCAGATTAAATAAAGAACTGGAATATCGAACATATCTATCTCTAGACTAATGACGCTTATGTTTAGTTATACGTATTCTAGAAACAAGAACAATTTAGTTCAATTAAAAGAACAATTTGAAAAAGCCTTTTGATACTTCTTTGATGATATTGATCACCATCAATGAGCCCAATAATACTTGAGTGGTGGTTTTCACCCGTTCTATACTTTATGCCATACTTTCTTACAAAAAAGAATTACTATTAAATAGCGCATTCTCTTTTAGGTAATACGTGAGTTCCACATTTCAGCTACAACGTAGCTGCACTAACAAGCTTTTTTTCTTTAGAACCAGGATTGAATCAGGCACGAAGAAAATTAACACCAATATTACCTGAATCAAATTCATTCGATATTCCTGATGGATACCAAACCACGGCCTCCGGTGAACCGTTCTTGATTTGCGACAAATTGGTTTCTCGGAAGAAAAGAATGTTGATTTTTGGTAGTCCGAACCAATTACAATTGCTATTCGACAGTTCTATTATTTTTCTTGATGGAACTTTTCGATCAACACCACCGTTTTTCGACCAGATTTTTACTATTCATGGTTTGAAATTTGATTGTGGTACGATATACATCTTATTCAATCGATAATTAATTTTTTTGTCTTTCAACTTTTCCCTGTATATTTGCCTTATTGCCTGTTCGGAAAAAATCGACATATCAACAATTATTTAAAGAATTAAATGCTGCTGCTGTGTCTATGGGTCGAACATGGAAGCCCCGATCAAATTATGTCTGCTTTTGAAACCAGCTTGATACCAGTAGTATCTGCCGAAGTAAAAACTTTGTTCACAAAGGGTGTTATTTCCATCTCAGTCAGTGCTTATATCGACGTATCCAATCACTTGGTTTAGCCAAGGCTTATTCGCAAGATGAGTCAGTTCGAAGCTGTTGTCGTAAATTGATGGCATTACTGCTTTTACCAATTCAAGAAGTTGAAACTTCTTTTAATAATTTACGTGCAGCAGCAGATCCAACAGTGAAGCAACAACTTCGTGAATTATTTTTACATTTTGATGAGTATTGAATTAATAATATACTAATTGAAATGTGAAATATTCATGATAATCAACATTGAACTAACAATATACGTGAAGGTATATGCATTCCTTCTTTTACAACCTTAGATCAAAATGTTCATATTTAGGATTTCACAATAGATTAAACCGACGAATGGAACGAGCACATGCAAATATATGATCATTCATCAGATGCATTGTTAGTGAAGAAAGTCGATTTCAATACTTATACGTGCAAATCAATACAGGTTCTGAACGTCGTTATACTAATGGTATTCAAAAGCGAATTGATACTCTTATGGAACGTTACAACAACAGGGTCATCGACGTGGAACAATTGTTGGATAAATTATCATTCCTCGTCGCTAAAAAGACATAAAATTTATTTTAATATACATATGGACCTGTTGAATGACTCATTTTTTTTATATCTATTTATCGTCATCAATTAACACATTGTCCTTTTTTTCGATGAAATACAATAAATATTTTATACTTTACATCTAACATAATTTTTCATTGATTCGAAATTTTTTTATTTCGACATTTTTTCTTTCGACATTTTCAATACATACCCCCCCCTCACACACACACACCCTAAAAAGTTAATTTTCGTCAAATTTTTCGACTTTTCGATTTATAGCGTGTGTGATAGAGCAAAATGTCGAACGCACTATGATTTATGTACTTTATGATGAGTTTTCAGGATGTTACATCAGTTTTTCTGAAACCCCCTACACTGTAAAAAGAAAACGTAATGGGTGGGGCAAAAGTTTTGCATTAATTTTGTTTTTCTTCGTGTATCCCTTGGAAACGGTCTAGGCTGTTCATTCTTTTTTCGTTAGAAAGAGCATAGCTAGTAGTGCATATGTATATATCGTTTCATTTGTGACACGTGTTTTTGAGCGAGATGAAGAAGGAAGAACGAGAAGCACTAAGATTACGTGGCGCAACTTTTCATAATGGCACTGCTGGTGGTAATATGAAAACTACATGGAATGTTTTAAAAAAGAAGGCTGTTGTTATTCAACTGTATATCGAGTCATCCAAAGATATGTACAATTTAAAGTCACAACAGATTTGCCAAGATCTGGTCGTCCACGAAAATTGAACAACAAACAAATGAAATCTATAGCATTCACTGTGAATAATAATAGTGGCATTAGTCATAGAATCTTATCAAGACGTTATAATGTTGACCATAGAACAATTGGTAGAAATTTAAAACAACGAACACATATTCGTCCACGACAACGAATTAAAGCACCGAAATATGTTAAAGATCAGGAGAAGCGTGCACAAAAATATTCTGGATTTTTATATCGTCATATTTCGAACAATTGTTTTATTGTCATGGATGGTGAGAAATATTTCAGCTTAAGTGGTGTTGATATACCTGGAAATTCATTGTATTATACAAGTGATCGTTCTAGTACACCAGCAAATATTAAGTAGAAACAATATCAAAAGTTTGAACCAAAACTTTTAGTATGGTTAGCAGTATCGGTCAAAGGATGTTCACAGTCATATATATATATAAAACCAACAATGCTGTAACTGGCGATGTTTATTTAAAGCAATGCATACAACGTCGATTAATTCCTTTTATCAAAACTAATCATTTAAAAACAAAATTCATATTTTGGCCTGATTTAGCGAAGGCTCATTATACACCACAAGTGTTACGTGTATTAGAAGCAAATTCTATACCTTTTGTACCAAAGGAAAAAAATCCTCCCAATGTACCTCAAGTACGACCAATTGAAGATTTATGGGGTATATTGAAACAAATGGTGTATGCACAAAATTATGAAGCAAAAAATTTTGATCAACTTGCTAGTCGAATACGAAAAAAATTCGAAAATTAGATAAGAAAATGTTGCGAGAGATGATGTTAGACGTTCTTAGTAAACTGCGAAAAATGTGGCGTGAAGGTGTTTTGTCAACTTGTCATTAGATATTTTTTGTACTTCGGACATTGCTCTTTCTAATAAAAAAATACTTAAACTTGAACAATGTTTCCTTGAGACGCAGTAGCAAAAACAAAGTTAATGCAAAACTTTTGCCCCACCCGTTAGAATACTAAACCCTAGTACTTAAAGACAAATTTCATAAACCCTAAAAGAGTTTATGCCGAAGTAAGAAAACCTTAAAGGATTTTTTGTTATACCTTTTCACAAAGGGGTTTATTATTATACTTCCAATGGAATGACTTTATGCTGCGCTCAAAAAATTTTAATTCAATTAGTCATACATCGATATCACCATGATGCACTGTAAAAAAATTCGTAGAATAAGAAACCTTAGTACTTTCGGAAACTTTTCCTAAACCCTTTAAGGGTTTTGAGAAAAAGGGTATTTTAAATGAAAAAAGGGTTTATGCGGAGAAAAAGAAAGGTTCATCAATATACCCTTCATAAAAAGGGTTTCTTATTCTACGTTTATGGGTTTATGGTTATAATTTTTATTCTACGATGAAAGGTTCATACCTGTGTCTTTTCACAAAAAAATGTTTTGCCTTGCGTAACTAAGGGCTTATTGTTCTACTCTTTCATGGAAACCGTTTATTATTCTACGATCAAGAGTTAATTATTCTAACTTTTTAACAAAACGCTCTCTCACTGTCACTTGAAATATTTTGCTACGGTGGTTATTTTCAAAAGCAAACATATTTCGATCGAGAACAATACTATCAATCAATATAAAGTTTTCTAAAATTGATGAGTTCTAAAAAAAATCAGAATACTCAATCTTGCACAATATTTTTCTTTTAAAATGTAGACATTTCTAAGGGTTATTTTTCAGTCCCTAAAGAAGAAAACTCAGAAAAAATTCTAAAAATTATTTAAAATTTATTTCAAGGAATTCCTATCAATTAAATAATTTATTAAATATATAATATACTTTTAAATATCGATATATCTGTAATATGAACTATAAAATTTAAGTGACATCGATTTTAATAATATTTTATAAATGTCATTCAATTTCAAATGAATAAACGGTACAGAAATCTATTATTCCGATTTCTTCATCAAAATAGGAAGCGCCTATTTAGAAGAACATCGTTTAATTTAGGAGTACATTTCATACTATGCAACTTGAGCGCGAATCCGATCGAATGGATAACAAGTTAGACAATCATGGATTATGTCATATGTTCGAATCCAGGTGACAACAGTAAGTACATCACTTAATTAATTATAAATCTATGATCGTATATATATATACGATCTGAAACGCAAACTGAATTGGAGTAATAGCAAAATAATGATTGTGTAACATCTAAAATACTTTTTTTAACAATAACCCTTAGATGTTTGTCTCACTAGAAAACGTATTTAAAAGGGTTTATGAAAGGGTTTAGGATAGTTTTAAATACGGTAAAAAGGGCTTATTATACGTTGCACTTTCATCAACCCCTTTTTGGGTTTATTATTCTACGAAATTTTTCACATGGGTCAGATATAACAATATTATAGTAAAAACACAATTAATAACATAGAACTATATTTTGATAATACCTATTCTCTATTTGCAGTTATTTTTTCGTGTTAAATCCATGTACCATCACACCCTTTTATGTACTTCTACAATGGTGTCCATATTTTGTTTTAACTTGTTGGGTTACTCGAAGCGGTGCCCACAGATAAAACATTTATCAACAGAATGTAAGAAAAACTAAAGGCGACAAATGAAACATTCAGCAACTATTCCATTTGTTCAGTTAATTAATTGTTTGTTCAACATTAAAACTGAAGTTTCAGTAATTAATTCAGTTTACTGTTCCAAAAGAGAATACATTTACTCAGTAAAAAATAGTCTTTTTGCCAGTAAACACACTCAGTTTTTCGATGTATATTTTGATGTAAATAGAAGATTATTGGCCCACATTGACTGACGATGACTTCATCAGTCAAAAGATGCTATGTGACATAGTTGCCCTCGACAATCGTATACATATGCTATCTTACTTATCGATGTCATCTGTTCTTGACCAACTTTTGCATTTTATTATAATTGTTCTCGATCTCATCTCTTTGTTTGCTCTTTTCTCTATTCCTATATAAATACCCATGTAGCCGGTTTTATGAAATAATGGACAATGCAATGTATGTAATTACATGATAATGCAACCTATTTAATGCATTATCATACATTGAAAACTTCTTATTGGGCACTTGCTACATAAGATCTATTAAATCGATATCCAAATTACCATAATTGTATCTCTGTAGTTATTCACATCTATCCCCTTACATTCACCCTTTAAACTTAATCTATTAACTTATCTATATCTATCTCTCTAACTTAACTTTAACCCTTAACTTTCATCAACCCTCTTATATATATATCTATCCCATAACGTATCATCTTGATCATATCGATAAAAATATAAAACAAAAGACAACGAATAAATAATTTTTATTACCATTGGATTCAAAGTTACCACTTGGATCATGTCGAATTGTAGTTGAAAAAGAAAACAGTTGAAAAACGTATATATGGCATAAGGCTATGTCAATAGTGTTGAAATAGTTTCAGATTTGGAAAAACAAAACGATTCATGATCTAATCTGTTATGCTTGATACTGTGAGAAGTTTTAGTTCACTAGATGCATCTGAAACTGAGTAAAGACGAAGAGTGAAAACTTCTTTTGAGAGGTTTAAGGGCTGTGATCTCTTTCATTCTATAGAATATTCTAAAATTATTAAAAGTCTAGTAGTCTTTCGTTGCATCAAATAGAAACTCGAGGTCGGATTTCAAATTGTTAGTGCACATTTTAGCGATTGGGTAAACTCGGAAACTCTTCGGCGTGTCTGGAGAAATATTTTGGAAACTGAAAGGATAATCTGATATTCCTCATCAGATTTTGAGCCAAGGTTTCAACAATGCAAGTTTCCACTATCGGGGAAAAGGAATTCGAAAAATACTCTTAGCGCTGCACCTCAGGTTACATTTTTTGTTGAAATAATGGAAAATAATGGGTCATTTTCCCATTATTCATCCATTATCGGCTACATGGTTAGGTACATAATACTAGTTCGAGAAGATTCTTTATTCATTAGAGGGTCACGACATTGAAAATGACGTAAAAAATGATTATTATTATTACTATTAATAGGTAATGATATTATTGACTTCTTCTGAAAATCTATAATAGTTTTAAATCGATATTTTGAAATAAGTACTTATACTGTCATCGAACACTAAATTTATCGAATATCTTGACATAAAACTGTTGTTTCATTCACAGTTAAACTTTTTATGTACATTCGAGTAGTTTCATTAATATCAATATATTTGTTGCTTCTTTGATTATTTCTGTAGTTCAAATGCAATAGATAATAAATCAGCTTCTTCTTTATCTTTTACAATTTCATCTTTAATCAATCCTAACAAAACATTATATAATAAACTACAACATTGACTTTAGAGTAGATGTACTAATGATTGTTCTTGTTGAAACCATACAAGTTCTTTCTTAAATAGAGCAAATTATCTTTGATTGTAAAATAGTTTTTAATACTGAGAAATAGAAGAAACGACTTTTTTCTGACTCATTTCATACATTCATCTCTCAATATGACGATAATAGTTTATTTTAACGATGGAATTCGTAATTAGCCTAGTGAAAATTATTAATGGAGTGATTATGTAAACAATGACAACTTCTCGAGAGAAAAATATGAAAAGTGACTCAAATCTGCTTATTAGTCATAATACCTTTCAAGCGATCCGATGGCAAAATCGGTCGACTTCTCATTTGACAACCGCCGTACGGCTGTTTGTTTGTTTGTGCAAAATTTTTCATTAGAGTCTGAACAGCTTTAAAGTTGATGCCAGTTGAATTTAACTAACCACTTAAGTGCAGCTATGAATCGAATTCATTGAGAGCAGAAACTATCAAGTGAAATCCGAACTGAGCTCAATAAAAAGTATGATAAATTAGTTTCATTCAAAAGATCTATTTAGATATAGTTTTGTCAGTTATAACAATCACTTCTTCAAAAGCTAATTATGACACCCAATAGTTGGGTGACAGTTCGAATCCTTTGAATATTTA